AGCTTGTTTAACTGGATTTTGTCATTGTAAATCATTATAAATATGGAAAGAACAGCCCCATTATTCAGTCCATTAGTCATTCAGGCAGATCACCGGGTGAATTTTAAAAGTATGTAGTTTAGTATTTCTCTATTGTGCATTTCTGCCCACAAACATATTAGACCAAAAACATTATGTCAAACAAAAACAAAAGGACTTGGTCAGAGGTAGACAGGAAAACTGCATGCATTAAGAATGCATTAAAGGGGTCATATGACTTCTAAAAAGAACATTATTTTGTGTATTTGGTGTAATGAAATGTGTTTATGCGGTTTAAGGTTAAAAAAAACATTATTTTCCACATACTGTACATCATTGTTTCTCCTCCATGCCCCACCTTTCTGAAACTGATTGGCCAGCTATCCAGTGCGTTGTGATTGGCCGAATTCCTCAAGCGTGTGACGGAAATGTTACATCCCTTACCATATTGTGATGCCTGCGGCAACCACATGTGATGACCCCGGGCTGGACTCCGCTTCGTCCACGGTGAAAGTCGCTCCGGCGATCAACAGCGCGAAGTTGATATATTTCCTCAGCGACCAGAACGGATCAGCTCTAGGCATGACGAAGCGGATATCGTCCACTTTTGGAAGGCCAAACAAAAGTGTTTTTGTTAGTAGTAGTTAAAAGTAGTTTTGCTTTCACAACGAAACACAGCATCTTAACGACATGGCGGCAGCAACCATACTACAGCGAGAATAAAAGTTACGCCTTCTTTCTTTGCGTGAACATTTGGGCGGCATTATGCAAATCTTCCCACATCGTGACGTAGACATGTGGGGGTGTGTTAGAACGAGCCGTTTTAGGTAGGCGTGGTTGACTCTTAACTTTTATAAAGAATATCTCTTTGGATTTGAGACTTTAGTCTTTGCAACTTTACAGATCTTCTTTATGCACCAAGAGCTTGTAACACTTCAAAGAGAAAGGAAAAATTGAAATCGCATCATATGACCCCTTTAATAAACGTGGAACACAAAGGCTCTGGATTTCACATGCCGCCCAAATAATGCAGAGTTTGTCAGACACAGCAAATTTTTTGCCACATAAATACTTCAAAGCATTTCAGTCTTGATGAAAAACACACTAAACCCCAGTTCCAAAGGGGGCAATGCAATCCCAACCACATACTATACTGCAGACCTGCCTATGTTCAAGACAAAAGCTTGCCCCAACCTGCTGGGTATTTCTTCCCTGCGAGAGGTTTGTATAAAAGCTTTCAGTGGTTTTCAGAGTGAGGTAAGGTACACCTTTCTGCTTCACACTTCCCTTTAGTCTGCCACATGACTCCAGGCCGAGTGGCCAAACAGGTTTTCTTAAGCTGTGTAAGCAGCCCAGTTGACAGACTTCCCTCGCAAGAGCTCATTGCGATCAAACAGGTGGTCGGGCTCAATTGTGTTTTATGAAGTGCTCACTTAACTAGGTGTATTCTCACTGCATTGCATCAAAAGAGAGCTGCTGTAATTCTGCACGTTTCAACATGACACCAGTTGCTTAAATCAATACTTTTGCTTGCCAAATAAACTTAAAATGCATGCCACATAAACCAACCTCTTGATTGGAATGATAAGAGGAATGGTTTAAACTACTCATTAGAAATGGTCCAAGACTATTTGCTAGATTTCTGTGGCGTAACTAAAATAACTTGTCTAAACACCAAAAACTTCATTTGTATGTAATCACTATACAATTATGGTATGCCTCTGTATCACACTAACTAATCTAAGAGTCATTTACTGGTCAGGTTGGTGTTGAACTTTCCAGGCTGTGTATTGCAAAATGTATGTTCGCTTTAAAACAGCTTCACGCATGTTCTGCAGCTCTCCAGTTGTTCACAAAGATATGACTGAAATCTAGATTTAAAGACCTTCCAGAAAACAATGTGCCACCTTGACTACATTGACCCACCTAAAATAAAACAACCTGAAAAAGTAAAAGCAAATGAATCTGAGTGGAAAAATAAGGCTTGCGGATCAGCCCACTGTTGGTAACAACTGACCTGTTAAAAACAAGCTAGGCTTCAGATCAAAATTTGGCTGCAAGCTTGACTTCAGGAAGGCAAACTTGCACAGACTACAAAAAAAAAAATTTGAGATTATTTTTGTATGACTGATTTTTGGTATAGATCATGTTTCTAAGTGTCTAACAATCACGTGTCTGACAACCAACAAATGCCTATAACAAAAAAATAAATACTTGTAAGTAACTTTTAATTTAGATAAACAACGAAATAAGCAAATTAATATACTTAAGCTATTGTCAAAATTAGTTACATTTTTTTTTTTTTTTTGAGACTGAGGTGCTGGCGTCAACACCTTTCGCAGGGACAAAGTTCATAAGTGTAATCAAGTAGTTAAACATTATACATTCTTTGCCACTTTAGTGTCTCACTCACCTCCAACAACTTGCCATGTTTTCTCAGGTCAACTAATGGACATGATGTGTTTGCATTAAATGATAGCAATTAGGTAGAATGATCTCTATAGAAGTCAGAATCATACATATTTCAGCATGTATTTGTGGTCATATTCTCAAAATATGGCTTATGATGGGTCTAATTCAGCATATTTGCCTACATTCTCATTTGTATGTAATCTGAAAGACTTCAAGAGTCAGAAAGGCTTTTGAAATGTGACTGAATGAAAAAACTATTTACCTAGAACCATTATAGCTCTGTATATCTGAAGTAGCTTAAAACTCTTTACAATGTCGAATAAAAGAATAAAAACAAACCTGAAACTTAAATTAAAAGAAATACAATAAATAACAGAGAAAACAGGAATAGGCCATTGCACCAAAAAAAAAAAAAAAAAAGTCGACAATAAAGTCATTAATTACGGACCACAGGTTAAACATGAGTAATTTGCACTTACTTATACCCTTTTAAAAAGACGTCACTGAAATTATACAAATAGATTAAATTAGATAAAAAAAAAAAGAAAAAAAAAATCATAAAAAATAAATATAATATTGAGGCGTCTAACCTCGTTAGCACTAAAGCTAACTGACAGAAACGCCATCACATACATCTGCTCTTTAAAGGAGAGCAAAATAAGAGTACTTAAAGGGTTATATGCACTTAAATACACATGCATAATCAATAAATCAACCAAAATAAGTCATTTAGAGTATATAAAAAGATGTAGGTCCTGTTTTGTGGGTGTTTAAATGCTAGTTCCGCTCAGCATATGCCAAACCGAGTCAACAGGAAAAAACAGAGAATAAATGCTACATTTTCATCACTTTAGATGCAAGTTAAAGCCATTGAAACTCAGTTAACGCCACATATAAAGGTATTTATGACTGACACGTAGGAGTAATAAGCCAAACATAAGGAAATAGAAGATTGAAAACTGACCTGAGCAAAAATAGAATAAAAGTCGAAACAGAGAGGTGAACTGACTTGCTGAAAGGGGAAACTCTTCGTCGCCTTGTGTATTTACTGGGGTGAATTCATCTTATCTTGTCATCATTTTGAAGTCGTGTGTCCTCCAGGACTCAACGCTTCTCGTCTGCGCGCGCGTGTGTGATCAAATCAGGTGAGCGCGCAGCGGGCACTGCCTCATATATGGCGAGCACGCGCATAAAGACACGCGCGCGAGCGTGCACGAATCCACCCAGTACAGCTTGGGATGGGCAAGTTTTTTTTTTTTTTTTATTGCATACATTTTTGGAAGATTTTGCGGGAACAATTAATAACATATATACTTATTAGTAGTAATAAACCATAACAATTTACAAGAAAATATAATTATTATCATTATTCAGTCTTTTATATTCAGTCAATTATTAAAGTCATTATTAAAATAAAGTACATTTTCTGTCCAGTAGGATGATTTGATGATTTTTAAATATAGAAATAAGCCCAAAATAGTAAAATAAAAAAAAGTTGAGAAAATCAAATAAATGAAAGCTGAATAAATAAGCTTTCCATTGGTATATGGTTTGTTAGGATAGGACAATATTTGGCCGAGGTAATTAAAGCAAAAGGAGCCCCTACCAAGTATTGAGTACATGTACAGTAAATGAACCTACTTTCCAGAAGGCCAACAATTCACTAAACAATTTTTTTTTTATTGGTCTTATGAAGTATTCTAATTCGTTGAGATGGTGAATTGGTGGGTTTTTGTTAAATATGAGCCAAAATCATCACAATTAAAAGAACCAAAGACTTAAACTACTTCAGTCTGTGTGCATTGAATTTATTGAATACACAAGTTTCACAATTTGAGTTGAATTACTGAAATAAATGAACTTTTCCACGACATTCTAATTTATTGAGATGCACCTGTATTTACAGTAGGAAATTTACAAAATATCTTCATGGAACACGATCTTTACTTAACATCCTAATGATTTTTGGCATAAAAGAAAAATCGATCATTTTGACCCATACAATGTTACTTATGACTGTTTTTTTGGTCCAGGGTCACATATACTTTGTTTTTTTTTTGCGGTTATTTATTGGTTTGTTAACAATTGCATTGTTTTGGACTTCTGTTTCTATAAGTAATTAAACAATACAAATCTATAGCAAACTATCATTGAATCACAAAAATCAGTGATGACAAAAATCATTAAAATCACCCTATTGGACAGATAAGAATACCATATTTGAGGAATCTCACACATTTTATGATAGAACATAAGTTTAAACCAGAAAATACACTATATATATGTATGTAATATAATATGAGTGGGTTAATATAGCTTTTATGATGTAAAATACACAGAAACACAATCACGACACAAAGGAACATTCTTGAAATTTGTGCACATTAGTTATACAATGCTGGAGGTTTCATCTGTGGGTTGCAACAGGGTTCAACTCTTTGAAGAGTCATCAGGTGCTTTAGGCACTACATAAATAGACCTCTGCATAATTGAGGTCAGGTCTATTAGATTTCTGTCTGTGCATCTCTGACAGACTGTTTCCATGATTAAAAATGTAACACTGCCTTGACTTCAGTTTACGCTGCTGTTATTTTATTTATATTAGGAGCTGGCAGTAAAAGTGTAATACACACGTCTCACAGAGGATTGTCATTACATGCACACCACTCAGTGTTTACATCTGTTTGTTTCTTTAATCATGGAATCATTAAACCAAGAAGAATCATCTTTTGGCACTGGTTACAGATCATAGAATCCTATTTTATTCAGTTCTAATTTCACATGAATTATGCACTATTCTTGACTGGCCAATATCACATTCCCTACTATGACCACCACCGTTATTCTGAGTAGCATCATAAATATAGCGGACTTTGCAAGTATATAATCAATGGTACTTCAGTATCATATATCTCGCATATCAATATAAAATTCATCTTGCTAATTTTCTGTTAAATATTTCTTTCCTTTAAACCCCATCATTGACCCTTATCACAACCTAACCCTTCCTGGATAGTAACAGGCCCACCTAGAGGTGGCAAAGCTAACTACAGCATTGAGAAAAACAGTATTTGCATGCAAATTCATATCACTCTAACATCTGTAGTAAATATAAACTCTTACTGACACGCACAGTGTTTAAAAAAAGATGATTGCTGGAGGTAAAAAAAAAAAACATTGTTAAAAAACTTGTCTATGACAGAATCTGCAGTATGATTTCACTGCAGTGTCTCCACATTAACAGAGTTGAGGGTGACATCATTGAAGATACTAAGAGCTCTGATCTGGTTGAGCTCACGGGTCCGATGTTTGAATTCCAGAAGGTGCACTTTGTTCACAGCCACTCTGAATTCAGTGTCAGTGCATAAGATCTTCAGCTGGAATTCAAAACAAATTTAATCAGTTGCAATTGAACAAGCATGGAACAGAGCATGTAATTTTGACCAAACATGGCAGGAGACAAATGCATAACCTTGCAAAATTTTTAGTGATGCTATTTCAGGACCTCTTTTTCTGCTTTTACACACTGACATCCAGTTATCTGATACCTTAGACATTCTCTAATGTCTTTAAACACAATGAGGGCCTGACAGTAAATATTTAAGACATTTGTTTAATCTAAATAAAACCACCAAGATGAAAAAGAAACAAAATTGTTTGGTGCCATGCTCACCTCAAAAGGCTTTCCTGGGACAAAAGGGAAGGAGGGGAGCTCGCGCTCTTCTCTGCCCCACTGGTTTCCAATCATGCTGTTTCGTACAATCACTTGCTTTCCACCTTCATTGAAGCGAGGGTTTAGATGAAACACAATGTCGTTGCCTTTGTTTAAATTAACTGTGAAACTAATTGGGAGAGAAAATATAAGAATACACATAAAAAACAAAGGGGACATCACAAATAAGAAGCTTGTGATAACTGTTATATAATAACAATGAAATCAAAACTGGCCACGTGCAATTTCTTAAAGTAGTTTCGCTTTCACAACGAAACACAGCGTCACACACGGCAGGCTAGAGTGAGCAGAGGCCGGCTTGAGTGAGCGGCGGCCGGTGGGCTTGAGTGAGCAGATGCCGGCTTGAGTGAGCGGCGGCGGGTGGGCTTGCGGCAACCACATGTGACGACCGGCGATCCACAGCGCGAAGTTGATGTATTTCCTCAGCGACCAGCACGGATCAGCTCCAGGCATGACGAAGTGATATCGTCCACTTTTGGAAGGTCAAACAAAGTAGTTTTGCTTTCACAACGAAGCACACAGTGCCTTCACGACATGGCGGCAGCGGCAACAACAATACTACAGCGAGAATAAAAGTTACGCCTTCTTTCTTTGCGTGAACATTTGGGCGGCGTTGTGCAAATCTTCCCACATCGTGATGTAGATATGTGGGGGGGTGTTAGAACGAGCCGTTTTAGGTAGGAGTGGTTGACTCTTAACTTTTATAAAGAATACCTCTTTGGATTTGAGACTGTAGTCTTTGCAACTTTACATATCTTCTTTATGCACCAAGAGCTTGTAACACTCCAAAGAGAAAGGAAAAATTTAAATCGCATCATATGACCCCTTTAATTTAACTTTATTTAATACTAGTTCTTGATCTCACTGTGAACAGTTCATCAGTGCACATTATTTACAAGCAAAATGTTTGTCTTTGTAATCTTACCAAAATGTATCAACACAATTTATTATGTACTTTATCATGTATATTAAACTTATAAAAATTTGTAGACCTAAATTTAAACGATGTATTTAAACTGCATATAAAATTTCCATTCATGTGGATTACAGTTTTAACATAAACTAATTAATAAACTTAATGTGATGCATATTTGTCAGTCACACAAAAATAAGTATGATTTCTGTAATAGTACTAATAATCTTTTTTTGTTTTGTTTTATTAGAACTAATAATAGTATCAGTAATTAGTTTTATTAGGGCTAACAGTACTAATAATAGTACTAATGTGTTTTAAAAACACAATAACCATGTTTATATATTTATTTATCATAACTGAACAATTGAATATTGCTTGTTCCACAGCTAGCCATATTTTAACGGTATTCATACTTTTTAACTCAATGAGTGTAATTGTTTTTACAGAGAAACATTTACGCTGAATAAAAGCATTTTGAAAAACTATTGAAATAAAATAGACAGATTGAAATAAAATAAATGCAAATAGTTAATAATAAACCAGTGCAGAAATCTTACCTATTTCATTTTTGTATGACATATATGCATCACATGTTTATTAGTTTATGTAAAACTGTGTAATCCAAATGGATGAAATTTCATTTGCAATTCAATACATGAATCTTAAATTTAGGCCTAAATATTAATAAGTGCATGTACTGTATCGTTAATAACAGATGATTGCTAAACTGTTGTTTATTGTGTTGTTGTTCTTACTGTTTAGCATTAGGTTTGACCTCTCCAACGATAGTGATGAGCATCTTGTTATAGGCTCCACTTTGTAGCGGCAGGTCAAATGGCACAGTCTTCAAAAAAGGGCAATCTTAAAAAAAAAAAAAAAAAAAATGTAAATGCATGGTAAAAGGGCATAACTAAGAACCACTGCACTGTATTTAACACAGAACGTTCACTCAACAAAAATCTAAAAATGTGGAGTTTCACCAGCCATGGGTATTTAAACTGTATTCTACAGAACAAACAATATCATGGTTGTACAAATCCAAGAAGAGTGAAAACATCTTACTAGTGCTCTTGGAGCTTGGCCAGGAGCAGCATAAGGGCCGGTTTGTGGTGCAGGTCCAGGCCACCCAGGAGCGGTAGGCTGCCCAGGCTGTCCAGGCCATGCTGGTTGGTTTGGCTGCGCAGGCCAGGTGGGGTTAGCAGGCTGACCAGGCCAGGTGGGGTTAGCAGGCTGACCAGGCCAGGTGGGGTTGGCTGGTTGGCCGGGCCATACTGGACCTCCTGCCTGCTGATTATTTTGCTGTGGGAAGTCAAGGGCATCTGAAAGCTGAAACGGAGTATAATGGAAATTATAACATGATATTTGTTGTGCTACATTGGATAAACAGAATTACTGAGGTGATAAAAACGGTACTTACATCCATAATATCTGAAATCCAGACAAGAAGGCATTGTTAATTTTGCAAAAGCAATTTATTATGCACTGAGTTGGCCATGCTATACTGTTAAAATATGTTTTTTTTTATGAAAACATTATTTTATTAAATTAAAGTTCATCCAAAATTTAAAATTTGCTGAAAAGTTACTCACCTTCAGGCCATCCAAGATGTAAATCAGTTTGTCTCTTCATTTGAATTATTTAGAGAAGATTTTGCATGGCATCGCTTTCCAGTGAATCCTCTGCAGTGAATGGGTGCCGTCAGAATGAGATTCCAAACAGCTGATATAAACATCACAGAAATCCACAACACGACTCCAGTCCATCAATTAATGTCGTAAAGATATTCGTCGTTAAGATGTTTTTAACATAAAATTGTTGCTTCCCTCTAAAATATGAGTCTTCTATCCATAAAATTGCTTTCTCCATTCAATGAAAAAGTCATCTCGTCTGAATCAGGACAGAAATATGCACAAATCAAGCACCATTTACAAGTGAAAACAGTTCTAAACAAATATGTTTTTAATGTGCGAGGACAACATGATGGACTTTTTCACTGGAGGAAGCGTTATTATGGATTGTGGACTGGTATTTTGGCCAGAAACAGTTTGAAGTTAAAAACATCCTAATTATGGATTTATTACAAACATGCAGCTTTTCCCTTCACAAGAAGTTAACTGATGAACTTGAGTCGTGTTGTGGATTGTTATGATGTTTTTATCAGCTGTTTGGTCTCTCATTCTGACGGCACCCATTCACTGCAGAGGATCCATTGGTGAGCAAGTGATGTGATGCTGAATTCCTCCAAATCTGTTCTGATGAAGAAACAAACTGTTCTACATCTTGAATGGCATGAGGTTAAGAAATTTTTCAACAAATTTTCATTTTGGGGTGAACTATTTCTTTAAGCAAATTCACAATTCTGAATGCACAAGGTCAATCTTTCAACTAAAACATAGTCTCTAACATATAAACTAAGGTTAATAAGGGGGCATTTGAGTGATAAAAGTAAAGCGGTTTTTGAAAACACCAATCAATTTTTGTCAATGTTTGTTTTAAAAATGATATAAATTGTATTACTGGTTTCCTGGAGTATATTACTTGCTCCCATGAGCTGATGACTCACTCATCCATGAAACCACCCACCACACCCATTGCACTGTATGAATGGTGAGCCGGAGGGGATGATTACAATAGCAGATAATGCAGTGTTATTAAAAACCCTGTGTGAATCGTAATAAATGCATACTCTTCTTAACAGAGAGGCATGTTAAATGAAAGAAAGTTCCCTTGAAATGGCTTAGGGTGCATCATAACTTACACGGCTAACATGTTTCAGCTTTTAAAGTAAGAATGTGGAATATCTGTACAAAAGTTGCACGCAAGCATTCATTTCTACAACCTCAGATCCCCTACAGCAAAAGTTTATTATTGTGCAATCTGCATTTGATTGCCACTTGAACACTGCAAGTTTAGACGCGTCAGTAGGCCTGTGGATTTCCCTGGGCCTGTGAACCACACAAAGGCCTGTGTTTAAAACTAGCAAAAGTACAATCTTTCTTTCAAAAGTGAATATGAAGACTGATTTGAAGATCAAGAGAAACTTTCAGTCAGGTGTATAGATGTTTGACTGATAGTGTAAGAAGTACATATGTCACTGATTCATGTTAGCATGGTAATGTTTATGTCATACTGATTCACTTTTTACTAGTTAAAACATGAATTTAGGCCTGTGGATTTCACTGGGCCTGTGAAACACCCAAAACTAGCAAAAGTAAAACTAAACTATTTTTGTATATCTGTAAAAATCTCAATATGTCTTTCATGTCAACATGACAGGACCACTTTCTGTTTGCATTGGCAAAACTCATCGGCCACACACATCGCTCGCTATGCAAACACAAACACCAAATTCAAATATATTAATCCTGAAGCTGCTTAGAAAGTTTTGAAAATGAGAAAAAAAGCAAAAAAAAAAAAAAAGGCATATACCTGTATTTGTGCAGTTGGTGTCACACAGGTGCTGTTCTGTAGAAGCAGTGGGTATACAGACAGGAATTCCAGGTGAAGTTCATAAATACACTCTCACACCCCAGAAACCCCTCCCCAACTCTTCTGAGAGGAGACCACACCCACACGATACAATCACATGGCCTGATTTCATAGGGAAATATGATCAGTCAGAGGAGAGGCGAGACTATGAATAAAGTTTTTAACAAGTATGCTGAAACGTTCTTATCTGATTGAGTTAATATTGGCTCTTCACTATGTTCTGGAGGTTATGCACCTCAGTTCATTTGAGGTGCTTAACCTCCGGATTACACATGTGTTTTAAGGATGTGTCTGAGGAATTCAAGGAGTTTCCTTTTTTTTTTTTTTTTTTTTTTGTTTGTGTTA